ACACACACACACTATATATATATATATATATATATATATATATATAAAAAATCCCATTTCTATTATTCACTTCACCCAGCCCCCAAGTTGCCTCTAGCTGCAGCAGGCAACCAGTAATGTTAGAGCCCCACAAAAATGATCAAACCTACAAAGTTCATATGGTTTCAAGGCAAAGCAAAACTAGTTTTCTCAGGTTCAGTACAAGTAAACATATACTAAATGTGGTTTTACATTATTTGCCCAAAGAAGTCATAAGGGAAATAAGTTGAATCCAATACATTTATTCTCTGCAGTCATCTACTCAGTGAGACTATTTATGCCTGCATGAAAGTCAATGCAAAGTAAATAGCATTTTTGTATAGGTTCATAGAAATGAAGAATCAGAATTCAGACCTTTTATCTGTGGTCAAAAATGGTATTCTGTCCAGGATTATATAATATATTGGGCAAAGACAGGTAAGCGACAGAACTTTGTAAATTTATATTAAATACACCATATGTTTTATCAACTGTTTTGGTTGAGCTATTGACTTTCTACAAGCTCATCATGAATTAAACATCAGCCAAAAGTCAACATATGCAATTTAGGAAACAAGTCTACATCCAGACATTCATATGAATGAAACTAAGTTGATTCTTTTTTTTAATTAATTGTCCAAGCTTTCGCAGCTCAAACAAGGAAAACTTAGTTCCATTTTAAAAAAGGAATATAAGTTGTTACTATGTATATTCTTACCTTATTTAGGCTACTCTTAAATCCACCAGAAATAGAAAAGACCAAGGAACAAAGCCAGTGAAATATTTTACAGCTACACATCTGAGTAATAATTTTGTTTACAATCTTTGGCCTGTTAAAGAAATATTTGTTTCCAACAATAGCCTGTAAAAAAAAAAGCAAAGATGTTATTTCCAAGGATTCACAAAACTCAGGCTACCTAGGTACAGACATTACACCTATCACACACTAAATGCATAGAAAGCATTTTACAGATATAACAGAACAGATGTTCGCAGCACATAAAGCGCTTTAAAAATGGTAAATTCCACTTTAACCCTGGATGAAGGTGGTATCAGATTAAAGCTCTTTAGATTAGAGTGCTTTATCTGTACGACATGCGATCCCTAGTCAAGGTAGGTCACATTCCTCTAGAATCCCAGGGTCCCCTTGCTGGGCAGCTTGCTAACCTCAGCCAGCACATGTCTCCTCCAGGTGAGCAGCAGCACAGCCCCACTTCTGGGCTGTCACAGGGGAGACGAAAAAGCTCTGACTCCTCTCTGCATAGCTGGGCAGAGTTTTGGGGAATGGAGCCACTGTGCTCCGTGGATCCCCTCCAGATTCCTGGGTCAGGTCTTGAGTGAGGGGGGCAGGCCAGGTTCGTGCAGCAGGGGGCTCCCCCCCCACCACCTGCCACAGCCTCTTGACAGCAGCAGCCAGCAGCAGTAGCATTAGACTGCCCAGCCTGGCTTTTGGATGTGCTGGGAAATGTGGGGTGGGGAAGGGAGTCCCGGTGTCACATAGCCCTCCCCCCTGAGATTGCTGGGTCCAGTCTTGGGAGGGGCTGGGCCAGGTCCACCCAGCAAGGAAAGTTCCTCCCTGTACCCCTGATCCTGGTGCAGTCAAAAGCTGGGCAGAACAATATTATGCTGCAGCTGCTGGCTGCAGCTGTCAAGAAACTGGGGTGGAGGGGTTGGGAGAGGGAAGAGCTCCCCTGCCATGCAGACTCAGCCCAGCAGTGGCTCACCTCCTCAGCCACTGCTGACCATTGCCAGTTGGTGGGGGACAGGGCTGGGCAGCTTTGGCAGGCTCTGATCCATCCTCCCCCAACCTCCACCCGCCCCACTGAACAGCGAATGTCTCTTTGGTTTGCTCCCACTCTAACTTATAGTTTTTATGTAAAGTGTTACAGAGCACTTCTGCCAAGGGCTTTTTGAACATCTATACTTAGCCATAGATAGTATTCCCCTTAGTAAGGGAAGGGTTTGCAACAAGATCAAGGAGCATTTAAACAGCATGGCTTTGAAGGCAGAAATCCAAGCTTATTCAGCAAAGATCAACCCACCAAACTCCCCTTCTTTCTGCTGGTAGTGTAATGAGGAAGTGTTGCCAGGAGTGGGTGGAAGAGGGGCATGTGGTAAACTCCATGGGGGGTAACACTTTTCATGTAGCCTTCCTTCACAATATTTTAAAAGTATTATAGACTTACGTGTACTGAGAGCATCCAGAAATTCAAATCTTTTAAGTTCATTCATGTTAAAAGAAACTCCTAGAATAGTCTCCTCATTCAAGACCCTTTTCAAGATGAATTTATGGATTATAAGTATGTAAGAATAATGTCGTAGCCATGATGGCCCAGAAATTACACAGGAGGCAAGGATCTCTTAGGATCATATCTTTTATTGGACCAACTATGTTCTTGGGATAAAGTTAGACAAGCTTTCAAATGAAGACATTCAAAAGGAAGAATATCTTGCATTCAACAGTTTGTGTAACTGTATTCCAACTGCAAAAAGTCTAATAAAAGATGTCGCCCTAAGAGATCCTTGCCTCTGGATTATCAGACAAACCCTGTTGCTAGACAATGATGAACAAGAAAAGAACCTAATTAAAAAATATCATCTTTTTCTCAACGTAGTAAAAAAAGAGCTTTATTAGAAATAAGGAAAATGGTAGTATTCCTACCCTCATCCTCTCCACCCTGTTCTTTTTTCTTCTGTGTAGGGCCTTCTGCCAGAACCTAAGACTTCTAATGCATGGCTTCTTACTACAGATTTAAAGAAATAGTACAAAATATCTTTATACTTCTTATGTAGTTAAAAAAAAGTGGAATAGCCAATATAAGACAATACACCAATTAAACCACTTCTTCCAGTTTTCACTCTTCCTAGCTTTGTCATCCTTTGCTTCTACTCTATATATGCTAAATGTAAATTACTTATAGAAGGTATTTTTCCTTCATGACTGTCAGCAAAGCACCAGAAACTTGCTTGGTATTATATAAATAAAAATAATAGGAAAGGAACACACACCTTGATTAAACCATGAGGGAGTAAGAGCAACCTTATCGTGGGGGTATTGCCATACTGCAATATGGTTATAGGAGCCAATGCAAAAAACATTTTGATTTTTTGAGCCAGCTCTGGCATTGAGGAAAATGCAATGAAACCTGAGAAAACAGAAAAAATGAATTAGGACAAAGTTAAAAAGACACCTGCACCAAAACACTGCATTATGCAATTGTTAAATGAACCCATGATTGCCTAACTTATAATTTTAAGAAGTTTTAGAAAGCCTACTGACTCATTTAGCCACAGGGAACAGATCATATGAGAGGCTTATCTTTTCTGACAGTGAAGAAGAATTTTTAAAAAATCTTACTGAAGTGCGTCATAAAAGGCTCAGGATCTAAGAAGCAAATAAAAAGACTCCCTCCCTTATTCCTCCCCTATTTAAATCTTTTTATTAAAAAAAAAAAAAAATTAAAGACCTGGCTTGATTGCTGAGGGTCTAGCTCAATTTTTGCATGTTTGAGTTTTTGCCATTTTTAATACTAAGAATACAAGGGTAATAATAGGGCTGTGTGAAGCTTCAGTATCTGTTTCAATTTGGAGGAGATTTGGCCCGATTCGGGGACCGAATCTTAGAATCCGAACTGAATCAGGAGACCAAGTAAAATCTCTGAATAGTTTCGAAGCATCTGAATCAATTTGGAAAAAGATTCAGAAAAGATTCAGCTGATTTGGAGATTCAGCCATAGAATAAACAGGCAGCTGACAGCTGGATCCAGCAGGTCAGTCTATTGGGATTGGGGGAAAGGGGAAGGAAGGGGCATTGGGGAGGGAGGGATTGGGGCTGAGGCTGGGACAAGCTGCCCAGCTGGAGCGAGGGGGTGCATTACTCGGGGAGGGGGAGGGGGATGCAGGATGCAGGCACGGCACCGCTGGGAGTGGGGGCTCTGCCATGCTGCTGCTTTCCCAGCTGGGGCAGGGGAGGGGAGGGATACGGGCGTGGCTCGCTCCAGGCAGAAGTAGGCAAGCAGTAGCAGGGCAAAGCCCCTGCTCCCAGCACTGCTGCACCCACAACCCACACCCCTCCATGCTGGCTGGCAAGAGGTGGCAGGGCAGAGCTTCCACTCCCAGTGTTGATATGGGTACAGCAATGCTGGGGATGGGGGCTATGCCCTGCTGCCGCCCAGAGCAAGCTGCAGCTCCACTGCACCCCCCCATGCCAGATGGGCAAGTGGCAGCAGGGCAGAGGCCTCTGGCTCCCCCCACCAGGGCAGAGGCAGGAACAGAAGCGCCCATGGCTATTCTGCCTGGCCCCAGCCTCCTGGCACTTAAAAAAAAAAGAGAAAAAGACCTGCGCTCACTGGCTCTGGCAGAGGCAATTGGGGGGGCCTCTGAGGGCTTGTGGCAGAGCCCCCCTGTGCAGTGCAGGGCAGTGGGGGACAGCAGGGATCTCTTCCCCTGCTTGGCCTGCCCGCAGCAGCTGCCCCATGGTGTGGGTGCAGTGCAGCTTGGCAGGGCACCATGCCCTGTCTGGGAGCTGGGGCAGCTCCATGTGTCAGCCAGAGCCTGGCAGCACTCAACCCCAGTGGCCCCAGGTCCCAGACAGTGCGCAGCACCCTGCTGAGCCCCGTTGCACCTGTGCCATGAGGCAGCTGCTGCACGAGTGCCAAGCAGGGGGGTGCTGTGAATCCCAACTGCCCCCCACTGCCCCATGCTGCTGTGGAGGGGCTCTACCATGAGTGTCCAGAGGCTCCAATCACCGCTGTTGTAGCCAGTGAGTGCAGGGCTTTATTTTTTAAGTGCCTAGGGCTGAGCCAGGGTGTGGGCCAGGCAGGGTAGCCACGGGGGCTTCCCTCATGGCTCCCCCAACCCGGGAAGTAGTAGGCACAGCCAGAGGAGTTGTCTGACTGTGCCTGCCTCTCCCCAGCCAATCCAAGTCACTGAATCTCTCTGAATCAGTGCTGAATATTTCAAAGCTGATTTGGCCAAATTGATTCAGGACAGTGATCCGAATCTCCAAATTGAATCACTGTCCTCCGAATTGGCCGAATCCAAATCTGAATTGAATACTTCCCTATTTTCACAGGCCTAGTTTATAAGCATTTTTTTGTTGACTGAAACACTGCATTTTAGTTAAAGATATGTTCATCCTGAAGAACCAATTAGCAATTTTAAACCAATTATTTCCAAATAGATAGATTATATCTATAGGAAAATTGGTCCTTTGATTGCATTAATTCAAACCTAAAATAGAAAGGAAGTTGAAGATTATCTGATAATAAAATGAATTTATTTATGGCCTTTTAAAGGGCATTTTTGGTATTTCAGGTAATGTCCCTTGTCATTGCATGAGGGTTTGAAGGGGTGATTTGGGAGATTCCTTCAGTTAACAACCACCTGTGAACACAGGGAATGGGAGCTGATGGTCCAAGGCAGCTTCTTCCAGTTCAGGAATGTATCCATTGGCTTCAACATTCCAGATCTGAGAAGCAATTTAATAGGCAATTCATTTCTGCATCAAAAGATACTGGACTTCAAAAGCCTGAAGCTTCCAAATCATATACCCCTTCAAAGGATCTGGAATTTTTCATGCACATTTCAAAATGTCCGATAGAAAAAGAAAAGAGGAGAGACTGGAAGGTTCAGGTTTACAAATATGTCAAATTCATCAGTGTCAAAGCCTGGGTCACAGCAACAAGGGAGGAAAATCCTTCTCCTCTAAGAACTGTTCAAAACATCACTTCACTTTCATTCCATTCCCTGTCACACACACCTCACTTCCAATGCCAGCTTTTATTCTGTCCTCCTCCTAGCACCTCTGATTCCACAAATTAAGAGATATTTTTTCCTCAGATCAGCTGGCTTGGAAAGCTCAGAGAGAAACTGACCCAGGGATGATAATTTTCCTCAGAAGTGTGCGGGCCAGGAGCGATCCGGGCCCTTTTTTCACGCCGCGGGCTGTCGCCAGCAGCCCGGGCACGCTGGGTCGGAGAAAGCAGGCGACACGCTAGAATAAGGCACGGACGCATAATGGTTGATTCAAGATTGTTTACTTACACCGTAGATGGTTGCAGTGTAGGCTGTGTCTCGGACGGCCAGGGCCGACTCGAGTTACGCTTGTACGTCAGGGCGGGCTGGTGAATGGAGAGGCAGACACAACTTATTGGTTGCAAAAAACTTTACTCACGCCACTTGCAATCACGACGCAGGTGGTCCGGTCGTCGGAACAACCACACGAGTTGTTCCAGCTGGCGGGGCCCAAGCCAGTTAATCCGTCCGCAATTCGAAGCCGGCGGGGAAAGGGGTAC